GTCGTAAAATCTGTTTTATCGGTGACTCATTCACAGACTTAACGAAATCAACAAAACAAAACAAAAGAGATGTTATTTCAGGCTCAAGCTTAATGCAATCATTCCATTTTATTCGATTATAATGTCATATTTTGCTGCGTTTTGATGCATGAAATACTTCAGATGTTTTATAATTTTACATTGTTCTATTATGAATTAAAATAAAAATCTATCTGTCGTTTAATTGTTTGATTAACTGCCTACAATATCAATGTATTCGCCAATCAAAATGTATTAACAATGCGGTTGCATAAAAACTATATTATGTGCATGTATCCATGCAGCTATCTGAAGCAGAATGTTACAATGGATCATATTTGTACATAACACCAGGTGTTATTGAACTCTGCGGTTATCATTTACATCAGTCTCCTGCTTATTTTTAGAGATCTGACTCTGATACAAGTTACCCCTGCTTTTCAGTATTTACTGAATAAATATTGTTTAAACCCCTACTTTTGTCTATTGATGATATCTAAAGAAACGGGTCATTTAAACGGTTATTTTATGTTTTGATCAACCGTATAAGAAATATCGAAATAACAAGCCTTTAACACGGGGATCATTTTGATCATTTAGTTACAAAGGTGGGCAATTTGACAATGACAATTTATTTTTAAAGTCGTCAATTTTGGTATACTCATTGCAATTGTTCATGTTATTAATACTGGTATCATCTGAAAATAAAATCGAAGTAAAGCTTGATTATTCTGAAGATTTGATACTATATTCATACAGCATTCATTTGAAATTTCAGTGCACATACATTAAGTAAAATTCTTGCATGGATTAATTAATGTCAACGACCAAGCATCGCAAACAATACTATCAATTTAATTTCTTATTAGTCTTGTTGCTTCTATATATGAGAAGAATTTCTTGCTGCTAAATACACTTAGAATTGAAAGTAGCCAATAAAGCTGGTTTATATACATTAAGTTCATTTAATCTATTTTTTAAATTCAAAACCTTTATGTAGAAATTAATCGGAAAAAACCCAAGTTCCTTATTTATTGTATAACCTCAATATCTCGATTACTTTGATATGTTAACATTTTGGGTCTCATTTAGTTTAATGGACATCATTATCATTAAATAATGGACATTTCATACTTTTAAATTGGATGTTGACAATGTTTCAATGCACATGATTATTTTTTTAAAATATAGTTTATAGGAATCCGTACCATTTCTCCCCAGTACCTGATCTATCTAGGTCATTTCCACCCAGGTCATTTCTCCCCTAGGCCATTTCTCTCCGCAACCTATAGCAAGGTCAATTTACTTCAACATAAATTTGTATAAAAATAAGTTGAATTTAAAAAAGATTTTATTAATTACTATCATTATTGAATTAACATTAACTTTTATATTTAATTATTATATTTCATTTCATTTCGTTCGTTAATTAAGTTATTCATTCACATATTATTTATTTATTTATTTATGACTTCACATCTTAATTGTTTATTTATTATTTCATTAATTGATTTCTTTAATTTATTCCTTTATTTGTTTTTTAATAAATTACTTTAAACTACCTTTTTGAAAGAACGGATATACATATATGATTTATTTATTTATTCATTTCATTCATCCTTTCTCCTTATGACATATGGTTAATCACTTTAAATGCAAAAATATAACTTTTGTATTTTACGGAAGCGTATTGCTGCCACTTGAAAAAATATTATAAGTCGTACGTACGAGATAATAAGTCGTACGTACGAGATACTAAGTCGTACGAACGAGAAACATTGTGGTACGTACGACATAATAAGTCGAACGTACGTCATAATAAGACGTACGAACGAGATAATATGTAGTACGTACGACATAATAAGTCGTACGTATGAGATCCTAAGTCGTACAAACGAGATAATATGTTGCACGAACGAGATTCTCAGAATGTAGCTGCAGAACTTCTTAAGAATGACTCTTTGATAATTCGTAAAATTGACGGTATATACGAGTGTTATTCGAAAACTTCGTAGACTTCTGTCATATCTTTTTAATTTCATGCCATGTGTTATCCAAATTTGGAAGAAATTTTTGAAAAGTAAAATCAATCCAAATGATTTGTATTACTTTTTTAAATACCGGTATCACGATTTATTTAAAACTGATCCAGATTTAAATATGCGCAATTCGGACAGCGGAGCAAGTCAAAATTTACAAAAGTTACAAATAACACACTACATATTGGCTTTCTGTTAAATGGAGCTAAAACGAAAAACAGAAATTCAATTTTAGAATTGTTACATCGATTCGCATTCCAAAGCAAAACTTAATATTTTGTTTTGATGAAAAGAAATCGACTTGAGAAGATAGGTAGTCCTCATTGAAAACGACAAAAATTAAGCCTTTTAGAACGTCAGGGAGCAGTAGATGCCGATGCAATTTTGTGTTTTACTCTGGAAAAACCCTGACTAAACTCTAAAAATGTTTGAGAAATAAAAAAAAAGTCACAAACGAGTTGTGCATGTGTGCACAAAAAGCAGTAGCAGTATTTGAGTGAAATAGTCTCAATCGGATGAGGACGTTCTGTGAAGAGACAGTTTTATTGTTAAAATCTGAGTAAAAACTTTTAAAAATTGGAACGTGAAAGAAAGACATGGGCACTTCAGAGTTGCTATTCTGTCAAAGAAGAGTAGGTACTAAAAGAAATTGAAACCTTAACAAACGAAATTATACAGAGAGACAATTTCTTAAAAACAAGAGGCCAATTGGGCACATTGCTTACCCGAGAAGCTTAGGCCATGCTCTTCTTAACCAGATTTTCCCTTGTAATACCTATTGTGGTCCGATCCAACCCCTAGCGGTCATGATTTGAACAATTTAGGATTTATACACAACCCCCAGTAACCTTCCATCTAAGTTTAAGTTTTTTTCTGTCCCAGTGGTTATTGAGAAGATTTTCCCATATATTTTAGCTCACCTTAACCGAAGGCTCAAGTGTGCTTTCCAGATCAAAATGTGTCCGTTGTCTGTCATCGTTGTCGTAATCGTTGTTGTCGTCGTTAAATTTCTATGTTTTCGACTTTTTCTCAAGAACGACTGGGCCAATTTTAACCAAGCTTGGCACAGAGTGTTCTTAGGTAAAGGGGATTCACGTGTGTTCAAATGAAGGGCCACACCCTTATTCAAGGGGAGATTATTTGGATTCTCAAGAATCACTGTGCCAGGAAATATGTTATTTATATGGAACCATCCTCAGGTAGTGTAGATTCAACTTCGTTTAAATCCTGACCCCCGGTGTTAGAATTGGCCCACTATGGTCGATCAAAGTTTTACATAGAAATATAAAGGAAAATTCTTTTTAAATCTTCACAAGAACCACTGTGCCAGGAAAGATGAAAATTATAGGGAAGCATTCTCATGTAGTGTAGATTCCGGGTTTTTTTCAAATCATGACCCCCGGGGGTAGGCTAGGGCCATAATGGCCGATAAAAGTTAAACATAGGATAATTCTTTAAAAATCCTCTTCTCAAGAACTATTGGGACAGGAGAGATGAAACTCATGTTGAATCATCCGCAGAATAGCAAACGCATGAATAATCATACTTAATATGGAATCATCTTCAGGTAATGTAGATTCAAGTTTGTTCAAATCATGAGCTCTAGGGGACGGCGGGGCCACACTGGCAGATCAGAATTTTACATAGAAATATATTGGGAAATTTTAAAAATTCTCCTCAAGAATAGCAAAGGCAAGAATGATTTTATTTATATGGAAGCATCCTCTCTTAGTGAAGATTCAGGTTTGTTGATATCATGACCCCTGGGTGTAGTGTGGGTCTTAAATGGGCGAAACATATTTTTCTTGTGGTACGAAGTTTAATTCCATTCGATATAACAGAAATCAATTTACTTCATTTTAAAATAAACAAGCCTTGTACCCACTGAGCATACTGAACGGTGAAGTAAACATAGGGTCAAGATTTTCAAAAAAAAAATACTATCCCTATGCATTTCAAACAGTATATTCCAAAGCCCAGACATTAATTCTTTTTCTAAAACCTGACTTTTATTAACCACTCGAACTGAAGGTTCAAGTGAGCTTTTCTCTCCAAATTTTGTCTGTCGTCCATCTGTCTGTCGGTCCGTCTGTAAACGTTTCACATTTTCAACTTATTCTCAAGAACCAACGTACCAATTATAACCAAACTAGGTACAAAGAATACTTGCGTAAAGGAATATATAAATTGTTAAAATGAAGTGCCAGGTCCCCTAAAAAGGGGAGTAAATCGAGAAAAGATATAAATAGGGTGGAGTCATTAAAAACTTTCTACTCAAGAACCACTGGGCCAAGAAAGTCGACACTTATGTGGAAGCATCCTAGGGTAGTGTAGATTCTAAATTGTTCAAATCGTGACCCCAGGGGTTGGGCGGTGCCACAATAGGTAATCAAAGTTTTACATAACAAGAGGTCCATCCCAGCAGGCATTTCAACGTTGATTCAACGTTGAATCAACGTTGCACTTCAACGTTGAATCAACGTTGAATTTTGGTTGCATATGAAAGTTGAGTCAACGTTGACTTATAACGCTGTTTCAACGTCAATTTTCAACGTTGAATAAACGTTGAAAATGGGTTGAATTTTTGGTTGATTTATGGTTGATTTTTGGTTGCAAATGAAAGTTGAGGCAACGTTGAAGCTTCAACGTTGTTTCAACGTCAAATATCAACATTGAACAAAAGTGAACATCGGTTGAAATTAGGTTGAGATTTGGTTGAAATTTTTCGGTTGTGCAAACGTTGATATTTGGTTGAAATCACGTTGAATTCATATAACATTTTGCTTTAAAAACAAATACATTTCAAATGCTAATAACAAAATGTATTCAAGTTGCGTAATATTTAGATAAGTTGTAATCCAGTATTATGATTGTGAGAGAATTTATTTTACATGTATTTTTAATGCAAACACAAACATGACAAATTCAAATTCAATCACTGAATCTCAAAAATTACTGCTTGACAAAATTTATATTCCTAGTGAAAAGTGGGTCACAGTAATCACATCCAGGTCCTTCAAAGTACGCGTCTGCCTTACAATACTAAGTTCCACAAAGTGGCGGATCCATTGATTTTAATCACGCATATAGTTAAGTCCCACGAATGAAAGAAATGAACAGGAGAATCCACCTTCTAAAGTAAAAGCCTATTGATAAAAGAAATAAAGATGTTAAAGCTACATGTATTTGTTCGATAAAATGTACGTAACACGTTATTTCAAACGATAAAAATAAATACTGTATAGGGGGAAAATAACTCGCGCTGTTAATATTCGCTATATTCACGGTGTTAACAAATCCGTGAATTCAAGAAACAGTGAATAAATTTTCAATAATCTATATGTTTTATTTGGAAATTTGAGAATAGACTACGATAGATTTATATAGGTGTACGTGCAGTCCATGGTCATTTCAGTAATTGCGAGTAGTACTGTCATTCAATTAATTTTAATTATCACGCTTTACTTTAATTCAAATCGGCAGATAATAATTTGTGTTTGTTCAAAAGCTGTTTTAATAGCCAATTAACCGTGCGTAACTAATGTTACCACGTGTATTTGTTACCTGCATTCTCATGCATATTAGTTCATGTAGTTTTTATCGACATTTTTGGTTTTAAAAAATCATTCAAATATCGAACTTACTGACGGAGGAAGTGTGGAAGAATATTATTTCGTAGAACTACATAAAAAGTTTTATTTCCGTCCAGTGTTTTTTCGCCGCGTTGGAAGATCTCGGGTGCACATGCACTCATCGTAATAGCATATAGGAAAGTCATTTAACGTTTAGGGACTGTCAATAACTGCACTTGTGTTAATTAATCATTTATGAAATCTAAATATTTTATAATAACTTACCCTGTTGTTCGTGAAATAAAGACATAACGCTGATTAATGTCGTTCACATGTAGCTATGGTATGGATTAAATGCAGACAAGGGAAGTAACTTTTATTACATACCAAATTCCGCGAATTCAAGAAACCGCGATCGTGTCAGATGAGAGAAAAACGTGAAAATTACAACCCGTGAAATTAATCCCCTATACAGTATACATGAATGATTAAAAAAAAAATCAGAGAAAGGAATATATTCCGGTACTTGGATTTAATTAACATGATTAAAAGAATTACAGTTGACTTCATGTTAAAATTCGTATGAGTATGCTTATAAATAATTACTAAAGAAAAATATTATAGACATACATATACATAGTGTACTTACAAAATGTTGCATTCCTTTGTATAATTTTCACGGGCGAAGAATCTGATCGATGCAATCAAGGCTGACTGTACAATCAATTCCCTGCACCACTGGTTGATTTAACCTTACGACGAACTACAATTAGTTAAATTGTATAATATATGAGAATACTAGCTTATATTTCATAACCAAATGAATATCAACAAAACACATAATACAAGAACCAAGGTTGTGCATTTCACGCAGATTTCAAATATACATGTACTTATAAAACAAGAGTTAAATGATGAACAGATACTAAAAAACTTAATTTCTTAAATTCATGAAAAGGAAATAATACTTACTGAGCAGAAGTTGATATTCCAGCCTTAATCCTTGTGTATATAGCTTGAAAACACATTAAATATGAACAGCAAGGAGACGCGCACTTCTTGTCCATCAGTTGAATTCAAATTTTGACCTAGATAAGCTGCAAACAGCAATACTCTGCCCAGCAAGAAAATTGCATAACAAGGTTATCCTGACACTGAAACTGACCAAGTAAGCGAGAGGCACTCCTTATCTGATATCTCGAAGGTTTTTGGGGAGTGGATCTTAAGTAATGCAACTTGACCGGGGTTAATTGTCAGTGTGAAAATTCTTATGAGTTTATTTGAATTTTTTTTATATTTTGTGAAAAGAAAGATTATAGAATTAATACACACAACAAAAGCACAATCTAATAAAATAAGACTTCTTAGATTCGCTCTGTATACGTATAATCTGCGCGAGAGTATACGGCACGGATCCATATGAGTCTAATTTTAAGAACATTAATTCGGAATAATTATTTTTATTAATTCTATAGTAACATGGAATTACCATGAGATGTTGGATAAAGATGTTATTTTTTATTAAAAGCTTATATTTAACATATCTTATAAATATGTCCAAAAAAATAGCATTCACAATTTATTTAAAAAAAATAACCTTTTTTGAAACATAATTATAATAAAGTCTTAAATGTAGATGCCATGCTTCATATACATGTAAACTCATATTCAAAATTTTATAATGGTACTAGCTATTGGCACAACTCTTTTGAGTGAACAAATTTATAATGTATGCGTTTCATTTATTAAGTATAATTATTATGTATATAATATTTTCTAACAATGCAAACAGCTGTGTGTATATTGCGAAAAATCGCATGGATTAGAAGTTAAAGACACTTTTATATTTTGAACTTAAAAACTAAAGTGCTCAATACTCGTTATACCCGTTGTATCTACGTTAATTTTTCCTAACTTTCCTGAAGTTGAAAATACGTTGCATCTTCCACGTTGTTTCAACGTTGAAACCAAGAGACATGCTTGCAGTCAACTTTGCATTTTTAAACCTTGTTTTAACTCTACATAATCAGAAAATACTCAACGTTGAAAACATGTTGAATCTTCAACGTTGTTTCAACGTTGAATATCGACGAGCATTCAACGTTGAAAATATGTGTTGCAGCTTCAACGTTGAATATCGACGAGCATTCAACGTTGAAAATATGTGTTGCAGCTTCAACGTTGTTTCTACATTGAAATATCAAAGAACATCAAACGTTGAGAATATGTTGCAGCTGCAACGTTGTTTCAACGTTGAAATATCGATAAACATTCAACGTTTAAAATATGTTGCAGCCTCAACGTTGTTTCAACGTTGAAATATCGACGAACATTCAACGTTGAAAATATGTTGCAGCTTCAACGTTGTTTCAACGTTGAAAAAAGGTTGAGGATTCAACGTTGAAACCTCAACGTTGAAACAACGTTGAAATATATTTGATCAACGTTGCAACCTATATTCCACCTCCTTTCAACGTTGAAACAACGTTGCGTGCCTGCTGGGATGGGCCATATCGCTCACCTCAACAAAGTGGCTAGTAAAAAAGCAAATTTTAATAAGTTTATTATTGAAAACGTAAAACCAATTAGTGGTTTCAACCAATCCTTAAAAGGGAGAGGGTATGATTTAAACAAACTTGAATCTACACAAACTAGAGGTCCGTATTTGCTCTGCTCCTATTTTGCATTGTTTTATGGACTTTGAGATTGAATTCTATTCGTTATCTCCATATCCTTCCTGATACCCTACATCACATTCAGTATCAGCCTAGGATACCTCGGCCAGCGTCGAAATATTGGATAAGGGTATTTTTATTATGCTTATTACATATTTGGTATTTAACACAACATACATGAGCTTGATATTTAAATACTGTGAAATCACAAATTTCATGGGGAGGTTAATTTTTGTTGTTTTCGAGGTATGAAGAGACCTATAAATTCATATCCACCACCAAATGAGAAATGTTACATACATTTACATAACTATTCAATACTACTTAATACATCCACGAATTCAATTTCCCACAAACCAAGAGATTTTACTCAACACACGAAAAACTGACCCCACGAAACTGTTATTTTACCGTAAATAATCATGCACGGACTGCCGAAACGTCTCAGTCTGGTTGTGATCGTTTCTACGTTTATTTCAAATGTGTCCTTTCTTCTGTCAATCCGATAATCCCTACAACCAAAAAAGTTTAAATTAAGGACAGATGACACAAACACACTTATGTAACAAAAAATAATTAACAACTTCACGGGTATATATGTAATAAAAAAATGACTAGTTTAACCGTATAAGCATTTAATTTTTTATTCAAAGTTTCACAGAAATAGGATCTGATGCTACAAAATTTTATATTGATTATGGAAGGTGATTGGTGAAAGGTACACATTACATTATAATTTTAAAATTTCCTAACATTTAAGAAATTTATTATTTAAATCATATACAACAAAAAAAGGCTCAAAAATATATACCAATCTAGACATCCATATTTAGTTGTTTATGTCATCAGTCCACAAGAGAATGTCCAACCCCCCAAAAAAATGTGTTTAAAAACAATTACTGTTTTATTAGATTTAATTTACTAGGAGTGTGATATTGATCAACATTATCCTGCAGCTCCATATCAGCCCTATAGAGCTGATACAGCTTTTTTTGACATCAAGCATATTGCATAAGTTCAATAATTCCCCTTTTATTGCTAATTATGAAATATACTGCAATATTTTTAGCTGTATTGCAATATACATTTATGATACAATTTATTCAGTAGCACGGATACCCTTCCTTTAAAAAACCAAATGATAATTATCAACTAGTGTTAGGTCGTTTCTCTCTGAAATGTTTACCATTAGGTCGTTTGTCTCTAAAATGTTTACTCTCAGATAATTTGTCGCTACCGTTTCATGATAGGTCATTTCCTTCTCCTGCCAAGGTCATTTCACCCCATTTTTAATCTGGCTTGGTCTATTTTAATTAAGTAGACTTTTATTCTTGTATTTTTAACTCTTTATCTTGTCATGTAAATAAATTTTATCAAATTAGGACCCATAAAAACTAAACGATAGAAAGTGTGTTAGAATCTTATATACATGGGAAAAATTCCAACATCTAATGAAAAAGTAAATTAATACCTTGATTAATTAATACCTTGAGTAAATTAATGCCTTGCCAAGTGGATGCCTCCTCCTTAAGGGCGATAATTTTGGAATCAAATCTAAACCCAATTAAAAGACCATCAATTTGTTTAAATGATCAATATTTACCCAAGCCGATTAAAAGTGTCCATAAACTGAATATTACAAAGATACTGATAAAACTTTAAAAAATATCATTGATTGATTACACAATGTTTAGCGTTACGTACATGTACGAATAAAAAGAAATTGTTTAAAAAGGATATTGCCCTACTGGTTTCAAAATTGATATCATTGACATTTTCGCCGTTTATACTGTAATTTTGTTTGCAAGACAAATCGGTCCAACACGCTTCTAGAGAAGTAAATTTTTTTTTTACATAAGCGTGTTAGTGCCATCTGTCCTTAATTGAAACTTTTTGGTTGTAGAGATAACCGAATTGACAGAAGAAAGGACACATTTGAAATAGACGTATAAATGACCACAACAAGTCTGAGACGTTTTGGAAGTCCGTGCATGATTATTTACTGTAAAATCACATAGTTTCGTGGGGTCAATATTTCCTGTATTGAGTAAAATCTCTTGGTTTGTGGGAAATTGAATTCGTGGATGTATTAAGTAGTCTTGAATAGTTATGTATATGTATGTAACATTTCACATTTCGTGGTGGATATGAATTCGTGGGTCTCTTCATACCTCGAAAACAACAAAAATTAACCTCCCCATGAAATTTGTGATTTCACAGTATTTAAATACCAAAACATTAGATGTGGGATCAGATGCCATGGAGGGGTGAGCATCCCCTGCTGACCGGTCACACCCGCCGCGTGCTCCTTGTCATGATCGGGAAAATAAAGGGGAAATCCATCGTCAATTCAGTGTATAAATATTAAATAATTGACTAACAATTAGTATGAAAAACTTCAGTCAGCATTTGACTAAATTATCCTCTAATTACTCCCCAAACAACTATAAGACAATGCAAAATGTCTAGTCGGTACATTTACCCAGGCGCAAATTGATAAGAGCATGAGTTAACCAAACATCACGCAGAGATCTGACCTAAATGTCACTCCTTCTTTCTCCTTTTACAGTCTATATTTAATGAAACAGGTCATTTAAAAGGGTGTTTTAAATTTAATTTGATTATACGTATATACAATAAAGAAATAAAAACGGCTTCAACAAGGATCTAGCTTCAGTGTGCTCTAGGTATCATGCGGATAATTAATGCTGACAGGTGGAGAATTCGACACTGCATTTTGTTCTTAACACTGCAAGGTAAATGACATCTGTCTTATATTTTGCTATACCTATTGACAATTTCAGCGCCCATATATGTAAGTAAAATTCTTGTAAGTATACAACTGAGCAATCCATCCAATGCGTCATCAATATTAATCTTCCTATGTGAAGAGTATTTCCTGCTGCTAAATAGATACTTTTTTATTAGTTGTTCAAAATTTCACGCAATTATTCATTTTAAAATATTTGATAAATATAATTCCGTTTTCTTTAGTTAAAGGAAACTTATCTGTTTTACTAAATCAAGAAGAACTCAATCAAGGAGTATGTGATGGTCAGATGTTAAATGCAAACATCAATGTTACCTGTGAATTCAGTGGAGCTAGAGCTAAAATCAGTGGAGGGAACGAGATAACACACTGTGAAAACAGAATATGTGTAAAGGGGGGACAATTCAGCGGGAAAGACAACCTCCTTAATGTTTTCTTCCCTATGGATTATAAATCACACATTGATAATCTTTTGGAAGTAAACGTCACATGTTCGAATGGAAGTGTCTTTAAAGATGAATTACTCATGGTACCATGCCGTAAGTATTGCATTGTAAATAAAGAAAACTTACTTGCAGCATCTATATTGAAACACTGAGATACAGAACTGAAAATTAGCTCAAAATGAGAAAATCTGTCATTTGATCACACCTCTGCCAAACTGAACAAAAACCACAGAGTCTTGGATTGATTTGTCAATCGTTCTCTCTGTTACTTTTTTTTTACCGCTGCACTTTTCTTAGTCGAAAAAAGTCATTTTGCCTAATTTTTGCCTTGTAAATTTTTTTATTACCATTTCATGAGTGTGGTTTTGGGCGACAAAAAAGCTTTCTTTTAGTTTGTCTGAAAGGAAATTTCCAGTTTATACAGTATAATTATTGTTATATCCACTAATACAACACCTATCGTAGATGCTGCTTTCAAATGTTTTCTATGTAAACATCAAATAAAGGGCTCTGGAGTTTTGTATGTTGGGAGAAAAAGACCTCTGGATCCGGTTGTATCAATATTTAATGAATGATTAAAGCTTCATTAAACTGATTGTTTTTAATGTGTCATTAAATTCCGTTGTATCAATGTTTTAATGAACGAATCGGTGCATTAAACCTTCATTAAATTCTTCAATTTTAATGAAGGTAAGGGGCTTCATTAAGTGGTCATTAAGTATGGCGGCCTAGTTTGTATTTTGCCCGCTTGGCAGAAGTAGAAGAATCAGTGCCTTTTGTGAGCCTTTTTCACTGCACATTATGGACGAGGAAATTCGGAAATTATACTGTTTTAAAAAAAAATAATGAACGGTCTGTCGAACCTTCAATATAGACAATCGGAATCACAAATACATCACCTACCTTGCCAACAAAATAATAGGAATAAAGATGCTTCTTTAAATCAAATCACAATAGAAATCTCAAGTGTAATCCCAGTGAATCCCAAATACCTTCGTGTATGTTAGTAAACTAAGTGACGTCATTTCTTTCGTCATCATATATGAGACAAAGGTAAACAGTAAAAGAATAATTACAGCTCCTTTTTTAAGGTATACAGGTATCAATGAAATCATGCATATGAATAATATTTCAGAGATCTTATTCTATATACTGTAATAGCAAGCCCCCCCCCCCCCACCCCACCGCAACACACACACACCTTTCAGCCTATCTTCACGAAATATTTGCACAGATTCATTTTTTGCGTGTTATCATTTTCTTACTTGTAAATTAATTTTAAAAAAAACAAAAAAACTTTCATTCATTTTTGAAAAATACTGCCACAAGCTTTATAAGCCTGATACTTCTATCACAAGTACATGTAACAACGAATTAAAAATATCGCTTCAGATATATTTTTTAACGGTTTATGATTTTTTTTATTCATTGCTAAAGTCAAGATGTTATAAATTATTCATTGCATTGAGAAAGATATATTTTGAGTTGAATAAAAGAGCTTGTAACCTTCTTTACATATAATATCTTTAAAATACGAGTATATGGATATGCCTTTATGTTATTTTTTTTTTAAATCTTGCCTACCAACCCAAAAATGCAGAACATAATTGTATGTACAAAACATATATAAAATCTTTTTCGCAAAAAGGTAAACGTGATTCTATTTTTCCCCGTGATACTCTCCCGTATTTTATCCTTTTCTTTATTGTTTGTATTGAACATTCTTCGTAACTTTGCTATTAATGATATTGATTTTTTCTTCTATTCGTATTTTCAGAAAAGAGTTACATTATCAATCAGGTATAGTGCATATAGAAATACATAAATAGGAAAAAGATGTGACGACCCCAGATTTTAAAGAGTTAAAAAAAATGGAAGGAGAGGGAGCCCCCCCCCCCTCCCCCGTGCCTGTATCAATTAGACAGAATATAAGAATTAAAGCGAAATACACAGACTTTTGGTTGTATCCCCCCCCCCCCCCCCCGATCGCTACATGTATTTATGATTTCGATACTTCTCTACATAAGTTCGGTTAATACATGTAGTTGAATTTCGGTAGAAATAACTTTCTTTCCCTGATTTCTATTACATTTGAATTGAATTCCGTCAGTAAATAAAAAGTTAGGCCTATATCCTTCAAAACACTCACAGACTTCGTTAAATGATGTAATTTTTTATTACATAATCAAAACGATTTCTATTCGGTTGATTAAAAAAAACTATTTTATTAATTAGAGCTTATTTATTATAGGTATTTTGTAAACAAAGGAAACGCCCACAGATACGCCCCCGGAAGTATTAATGCATTGCATTGTGGGATATTTCCCTAATGTTAATAAATCTTTAATGAATTCTTAAATATTTAATGATTCATTAAGTAATAAGACTCTGATAAAGGTTTTGTACAACACACTTTAATGACTTTATTAACTAATGTATCATTACGAATTTAATGAATCATTAGACTTAATGATTCATTAAATTTAATTAAGTGTTGATACAACCGGGTCCTGGTCATTTTGCTGGTACATTTTAAAAAAGGGTCTCTTATAAAATTGACATTCTGTTGCACTTGGAAGTGACGTTGAATAAAGGGTAAATAATTGAAATTTATTTTCCAACCCTCCTCGTATTTTGTTTTTATTTTATTGATTTGTATGCACTAATTTTTTTAAATTGAAAAATATTTGTTATAAAATAATATTATTTTACTGTTTTAGAATCTCAATTTCATCACTCTGTCGTTTGCAACAGAACGCATGCGCGGATAACGTGTGAACACAACTCCTACAATTTATCTAAATATGGAATGACGATAAAAAACTTTACAACCGGAAACACACTTGATCATTGTTGGTGGCGGGAAAACTCCTCGGAGTGTTTTAGAGAGTTAGCCAAAGGTTACTAGTATTTGTATCAAAGTATCTTAAAGAAACATTCTGAAAATATTGCATAAGCAATGCATGTCCCTTACCTGGGTTACCCTTTTCTCTTTAGGATACAAGCTCGTTTATAGTATAAATTAATTGCATCAGGACTCCATCGTATTCCCAATTCAAACTTGATTTTCAAATCATCAAGATTCATTTATATACCAAAAATCAGCTAAATATCTGCAAGTATTAAAAAAGAAACCAAGTGAGACAAGACAGACAGACGGACAGACAGCTAGATAGACAGACGGACAGCTAAACAAACAGACGGACGGATAGCCTCAAAACAAACCTATAGTTTCCTCCAATTTCACGGGTAGAGGGTCTAATAACGCAGTCAACTACAGATCACTAGTATTTATATCAAAGTCGCATTAATAACAGAATAAACCAAAAGTATCTTGTATTTATATCTGAGACTCATAAATCTACATAATACACGTCATTTTTCTTCAATGACAACGTAAAATTTAAGAATCTTAAAGATAAATATTACAGTTATGACTGAAGCAAAAAAGATAGTCTAAAATGCATGTTTTACAAGATATTTTTTTTCTAAAATAATTAAACATTGCGTTTCATAACATTCCAGGTATTCCTAATGGTTCTCAGTTAATTCTACCATACGTGAATGGGCATGAGGTGTTGATATGTGAAATGGATGGACAATTTGTAAACATCAACATTACATGTGACCAAGGTAAATACCCGTAAATATGACCTTTCAAGTTAACATGGTACATGTATGTATGTATCTGTAATCAATCTACTCGTATGTAAATAAGATATATATCTATAAATACCACATAGCATTTAAACATGGTACATGTGTGTATCTGTTAACTATCTACTAGTTTGTAAATAAGATAAATATATATAAATACCACATTACATGTAAACATTGTACATGTATGTATCTATTAACTATCTACTAGTATGTAAATAAGATAAATATTTATAAATACCACATAACAATTAAACATGGTACATGTACAGTATGTATCTGTTAACTATCTACTAGTCTGCAAATAAGATAAAGATCTATAATACCACATTACATGTAAATATGGTACATGTATGTATCTGTTAACTATCTTCTAGTATGTAAATAAGATAAATATCTATAATACCACATTACATATAAACATGGTACATTTGTGTATCTGTCAACTATCTACTAGTATGTAAATAAGATAAATATGTATGAATACCACATTACATGTAAACATGGTACATGTATGTATCTATTAACGATCTACTAGTATGTAAATAAGATAAATATCTATAAATACCACATCACATGTAAACATTTTACATGTATGTATCTGTTAACTA